ACTGTACATGTTGATAAGAAAATGAAAGCGGTTGCCAGTGTGTTGCTATGGGATTGATAAAGCTATCTGCATGCTGCTTTGTTGTTACTAGGGTGGTGCAAATAATACATCAAGATGGAAGAAAATAGCTATGTTTTTATCCAATGTGCAGAGGAAAGATATGCAACTGGGAATTAGTTACTAAAGGTGTTAAATTTGCTTTGTGGGCATGGTTTGATAGCTTTATTATCATATTGAAATGCTTATTGGTTGGATGAGTCAAATGAGCCACCCCCTTATCTGTTTGACTTTGCTATTTAATGTTATTGATGGGTGACATTTATAATGGAAGTCAATGGGATCAATGTATTTCAATGGGCCATCCCATTCCCATGTTTAATCAATGAGGCAGTTATTAAAGGTGTTTAAATGGTTTGGGGGCGTGGCTTTAAAGCTTCATTATCATATTAAGTAGCTGATTGGTTGCCTGAGCCAAATAAGCCTGCATGGCACTGCTATGTAATGTATTGATGTGTGACATTTATAATGGAAGTTGATGTAATGAATCAGAGTCGACGGGCAATGTTAAGTCATGGGAAAACTTTTGGGACGTCCTACCACCCCAGGGGTACAACTTTTACCCCCTTTGGGGTATGTTTTACCTAACGCTGCTAACCTCTCCAGATGTCTTCAAGTGCACCTGTGATGAAATCATCTTTTGTAAGCAGTTTGAACAGAACTGTGGGTATAGTGTGTCCACAGTCAAATTGCGGTGATAGAAACACAGTAAGTCCCTTTTTTTCCAATTTCCTGACGTTAAAATAGAATCCAAATCCCTCCCATTTTGAGGCCCACTGCAACGTGATGTAGGAGTGCGGTTTCCCCGCCCACTGAATTGATTGATAGCCGTGTCTTGTGTAACATGTGTCTGTAGTAATGTGCATAATCATATCAACATGACAGGACGTGCACAAAGCAACTGGGATTAAAAGATCTGTGGAAATCTCTGTGATCATCAGTCATGATCAAATGTGATCAAGAATGAGTTTTAGAAGTTTAAAACATTTTAAATTAGTGCATGTTTGTAATAAAGTAAAGATGGTAAAATCGTTGTGATTTATTACCACACCCGCATGTCAGTACAATTATAAAAGACGCTTCAATCCCGGTTCATGGTCATTAAATCAGGTTTATTTTGTACATTAACATAACAGTTATCCATACAGTTGTGGATATTAACGTGTATCCTGTCACATTTGCCTTGCAAAAACAGTGCAAAGTTAAACACGCGAGCTGTTTGTGTGTATCTGTATGCGTGAACTTTGTAACAACAATGTCTGTGACTCATCGTTGCAACTCCACAACAAATACATCAAATAATCATTGGGAAAGTTAAGTTTTATTATTTTTAGAAAACACGATTTCGTAATTTTATATCTGATAAAACAAAATCAGAAAAAAATGAAAACAGAATTTCAGGGAGAAAATAATGGTATAAATTATAAAGATATTTCGGTTTCATTCCTTTTCGATCATTTCATTAGACAAAATCCAGAATAAAAATGTAATGAAATGAATAAAATGGGGCCTTAGATTAGAAAGCATGCAAAACAAAAACTACATTGTTGTTATGATAGTTATCAATAATGCATGGTATTTATCATTATTATTGAAGACAATAACTTTGCTAATATCACCCAGCACTATTTTACTATGGTATTTTTGGTCTAATAAGGAGCATGTATGTAAAATGACTTGTAATTAAATTTCTAACATATTCTGAACATAATGAAAATACATGCCAGAATGTTTCTGTGCAGTTGCTATGGTGCTTAAGTATGGTTGCCAAGGTGTTCAGGTGGTATTTTGGGTCATTGTGTATGTGCAGTGCGCATCTGTTGGATTTTACACCTGCTTTATCATCTAGCTAGCATGTGAAATTAATATCCATATGTAGTACACTGAAAAAATTCTTGATTTTCAGAATCAATCAAACTAATGATGACATTAAGTATTACCCAATCAACAGTAGGAAATGAGGTAAATGCGAGGCTTCATAAAATGCGTGTGGTATGATTTGTATGAAAAGCTACTTTAAAAAAAATGATAAAAATATGATTCAAAACATGATATGATGCAATTTCTTTCTCAAATATGGAAAGATTCCGTATTTAAAGGGACGGATGGCAACCCTAATTGAAAGAACGAATTTGGGAAATGGGAACTATGTTTGTAACGACGCAACTTGCATCTTAGTTAAAGGGCAGCTATGGTGAAAAATGTACTTTTAAAGCTGTTTAGACAGACATGTGTGTATATATAGTGTATATACTGTCATATTGGGGTGATATAAACACACACAGTCCTTTTTTCAATTTAACAACATAAAAACCGTGGACCAATTGGAATTGGTTTTCAGACCGACCGCAACTTTACGTATGAGAGCGGTCCCCCCGCCCACCAATATTGGTCAACGGCCTTGCGTCACGATCATATCCTCAGTTTTTCATATCACGTCCGCCATTTTCAGCGTGTGAGTCAAAGCGTTGTCATTAAAGGAACACCCGTGCTCTATTTTTTGATGAAACGCTCATTGGGCTCAACACAAGATCAATATTCTCCACATTATCGCTGTAATCGGAATTATTGCTTGTACATTTTGCGTGACGCGACGCCGTGCATTTCGGAGTTCTGGGGCGTAGGTTTCTGTCGGGGTGCACGAGGCGGAGCCACTGTGTTTGCCCTGGTGGAGGCCTGTGTTTGGAGTTCTGTAATGCATGGCGCGACGATTCGGGACACTTCATGTTTCTGCCGCGTCACTGAGTGTCTGGTGTGCCGTGTTGCGGCGCATTCGGTGCCTCAGTCAAAGTTAATTCAGTGTGTGTGGTTATTAGTCTCGGTGTACAAGCTCGGCACAGACTATACAAAGACACAAAAGATTTTGTACTCTCTGCTTGGTCTGTGTCCGAGTCTTACATGTACGGCTGAATGCTAATCCTAGCTTAGGTTAGCTTCTCTCTCTCTGTCTGTCAGCTGTCTGTTGCAAACACAGAGCGTGGGAGCTCTTGGCTCCGCCCCTTGTTACGTTGGGCGGGAGGTCGAAACTGTGAAGCAACGTGCCCCTAAAACAGCAAACTGTGTACACGCCTCCAACATAACACTTTAACACATTATAGTAAAAACATCAGGGGCCTCATGTACGAAGACTTGCGTGGAAATCTTACTAAAACATTGCGTACGCACAAAGCTGTAAATGTGCGTACGCAGAACAAATTTCAGATGTATGAAACGCTGCGTACGCCGAATCTCACGCATATTCTTTTGTACATCCGAATGAACGTGAAACTGAGCGCAACATGCACGAGCACAAAACCCCTCCCCGCCTCCTCCCCCGTATGAATATGCTAATGACTATGCTAATGGCAAAACCCAACGAAAAAGTAATGGCAAAAGCAAGCAAAAAGAGAAACTTTGAACAGAATGTGAATTGGAGGTGCTGCTTTCGGAGGTAGACCGGAGAAAAGCGGTGTTATTTGCAAGTTTGTTCTCCGGAATTAACAACAAAAGAAAAAAAATAGAGTGGGAGAGTTTAGCTGATGCGGTTAACACAGTTGGGTCTGAACATCGCACTGAGTGCATTAAAAAAAGAAATAGTGTGATTTATATCTGTAAAATGTTGCAGTACCCTTAAAAGTCTCAGTGGCGCAGCTGATAAAACGCATGTCAACATGTTTTGACACGTTCGAGCATGAACTCAGCTCGAATCCAGCGTCTGATGAACTCATTCTTCTTTTTTCCCCCGCTACATATCAGATAGTGCCAACTATTTATCACGAGAAAGACAAGTAGGCATCATCAATAAGTTCATATCAATAAGCATCATATTTTATTTGCACATTTATTGAATGGAAATGTTTCTGATTCACGCATGCAAATTCATCTTCAGATAGTGTCTTTATAGCAATGTGCGTGCAGTAGATAGCTCAGATTACATTGGGAAAACAGGCGACTGCTGCAAATTGTGCTTTAATGTTTAGCTGGTCAAATGTATGGTATGGAAACCTTATATACCTGCTGAACCCGTCTCATACAGCTGCCATTGCAAGGCTCAAAGACACTTTGTAGAGAGCAATTTAACACAACTGCCTCTAGGAGTCGCCAATGGAAATAAAACAGACACGCACAAAAAATGTGCGTACGCCAGCCAGAAAGCTGCCGTGAAGCTGCGCACATTCCCACGTTCAGTTCATTGTTAGTAAATCCAAACGTGAGCGATTCTGAGCGTGAAACCTGGCGTACGCAAAGTTTTTGTGCGTACACAGCGTTGATACATGAGGCCCCTGAACTGTGTGTTGCACTGAACCTGAACTGGCACACTCCATATTATTAATACTAAATCATAAAAAAGAGGTAAACTATGTGCCCTATAACGATGGTTTTCGGAAACGCACCCCTAATGGGTATTTTGAGCTGAAACTTTACAAACACATTCTGGAGACTAAAGGCTTATCTTAGATCTTGTAAAAGGGGTAAAACAGGTACCCTTTAAAAGATTTAGTAAGTCAAATGAATTTTTTTCAGTGTAGCAAGAGCGAATGAAAAATGTGTCTTATAATGCAAATGTCTAATGCATTCATAAGAGTGAAAAAGAATGGACTTAAATGAAAAGAGTTTGGGTATTAAAATATGGGAAATGAATTTTATTTGCAGTAACATTTAGTTCTGTTGTCCTGTTTGATTCAGTGTTTGAGTTAGTGAATGAATAATGTCAGGAGACAAAAATATAAATAAAAGCATTCTCTTTGTTAAGGATCCCTCATAGAGAGAAATCCATTTGCCTGATCAGAGCAAAGTGAATTAATGAATCTATATATCATTACCCACTGGAAGCGACTCATAATTTTATGCCAAACGACTGCACACTTCATTATGATGCATGAGCGATGGTTTAAAAAGTTCTCCGTCTGACAAATGAAGCCACTTTACTGATAAAGCTGCACTTTTCTCTGTCTGTTTTTCAGGGTTCGTCAGGCTTCAAAAACCAAACCAGCATGCCAGCATCAGGACCAAATCTATCCTGATTGAAGCTGTTCGCCTAAAAAACCTGCGTGACGCACCGAGAACTGCTCTTCAGCCAAAAATATCTCCTCAGCGCATGCCAAAGTGCTTTTAGCTTCGTCCTTGTTATCTGCTTCGCAACCTCAGTGACATCAGCCAATTCAATCCAATTCCCCAAAAAAAGTGCACACAAAAAGAGAGTTCACAGTGTTGGGAATGTGCAAAGTGAATCGCTTTAATCACCTTTGATGGATATCTCAGATAAATCACTCATGCATCAAACCGAAAGCTCTATTCTTCCTCGATAGATCACACGATCTGCAACAGCGCTGTTTGTTTAACTCTCATTGCTCTGTATGATGCTCCAGCTGCACATGCTTATGAACACGGCAAAGCAACCTACGAATTGATGACTTTATGACAAAAGAATCCGACGCTCTCCGCAGCATAATACATTTAGTTCCCTGTGTTTATATCTCACCCGCAGCGCTTTTTCCACCAACATACATCATTAAAAGCTCATCTTGGGGCATTTGAGAAATGAAACACAACAGGTTGAGTTTCATCCCATTCCCTCGGCGTGCTACCAGAAATGCTCTGGGTTTCTTGCATGACAGCCAACGTAGTATTGGTATTTTTTGCACAAACTGAAAGGACGGCATCCTTATTAAATGCCTGGACGTCTTGAACAAATGGTTCCCTTCAAAGACAACATGACCCCGGAGTCATTCCCTGAAAACTGTAGCAACTGCAGCCAAGTGCTCGTCCCGGAGCTGAACGTCATGAAGGCGGTGGCTTTAGGGGTGGTTCTGGCAATCTTCATCGTGTTTGGCGTTTTGGGCAACATCTTAGTCATCCTATCAGTGGCTTGCCATCGTAATCTACGAACAGTCACGCATTACTTCATCGTCAACCTAGCAGTTGCGGATCTTCTTCTGAGCTCTACGGTTCTTCCGTTCTCCACGGTCTTCGAGATGTTGGGTCGATGGATCTTTGGACGGCCTTTTTGTGACGTTTGGGCCGCGATGGATGTTTTGTGCTGCACGGCGTCTATTATGAGCTTGTGCGTGATTTCTGTGGACCGATATATCGGCGTTAGCTATCCTCTACAGTACCCATCTATTGTGACAGAGCGACGTGCATTGCTTGCGCTCATAGCTTTATGGGTACTGTCCATCACTATTTCCATCGGACCTCTATTCGGCTGGAAGGAACCGGCACCGGATGATGAATCCATATGCAAGATAACTGAGGAACCCGGTTATGCCATTTTCTCAGCTTTGGGATCTTTTTACCTCCCTCTAGTGGTGATTCTCTCAATGTATTGTCGTGTGTATGTTGTGGCGAGGAGGGAAACGCGAGGACTGATCAGCGGACAGAAAACTGAGAAGTCGGATCACGCTGAGACCGTGACCTTGCGAATACACCGCGGAAACATGACGGTGTCCGAGGACGAGGCGTTACGCAACCGGACACACTTCGCACTGCGTCTGCTCAAGTTCTCAAGGGAAAAGAAGGCCGCCAAGACTTTGGGTATCGTGGTGGGATGCTTCGTACTCTGTTGGCTTCCGTTTTTCCTGGTTCTTCCGATCGGTGAGTTGTTAGAACTTTTTATATTTCATTATAGTCAATACCTGTCAATGTTGGGATGTAAAAAACTAATTAGGAACTGGTTTTCCCAAAAATCCAAAGACATGCACTATAAGTGAATTAGATTAACTAAATTGGCTTAAGTGTATGAGTGTGTGTGTGTGTTTCCCAGTACTGGGTTGTGGCTGGAAGGCCATCCGGTTTGTAAAACATATGCTTGAATAGTTGGCGGTTCATTCCACTGTGGCTGATAAATAAGGGACTAAGCTGGGGAAAAATGAATGAATGAAATCAAACCCCCTAAACCAGGGGTGCCCAAACTAGAGCTGCGTCCCAAATGGCACACTATATACTATGCACTCGTGCACTATGTACTTATGCACCTAAACACTCAACAGGATAGTATATGTATGTAGTGTCATCCCAATTGAAAACAATAGCCACATCAATTGCAGTGGTGGATTTAGGCCTGGGCAATGTGGGTGTTCGATCGCCCCGGGCGGCATCTTGCTGGGGGCAGCATGGGGAAGTGCAAAAAATGTGCTCCAGTAAAAGCTTTGAGATAAGATTTACTTTTTTAAAGTGTATTAATTTACAGTGTTTATCCTAGAATAAAGACGTTAGGGGCTATTCACATTTGGCGTCTTTTGCACATGCAAGTTAGTTATTCTCCATGTACAACCAAAACAATGCTTGACGCATGCGCGCAGAAAGCCATTCCCGCGCCTCACGCGCTGCTGCTCCTGATCCCGGTTGTTTACATGCACGCCGATATGCGCCGCATGTTGAAAGACTAAAGTTTATATCATATGATGATGATGTTTCTTTGACTAAGCATGACTATGAAGCAGAAATTGGTGAAGTTGGTGGTTCATTCTGCCGTGGCGACCCCTGATGAATAAAAAAACTAAGCCAAAAGAAATTAAATGAATTAATGATTCTGATTAAAATTACTATAGTTCTGTATCCAAGAGAAGCAAATCTCTTTTGTTTAATTACTGGTTGGTTATCAATAAATGACATGATCTACTCTGTATGGGTGTTACTGTAAATATAGGAGAAATAAGAAAGATTTAAATGGTGGATATGAGGGTAAAATACAGGAGAATGCTGGAGAATAAACAGGAGGGTTGACAGTTATGTTATATGCAAATACCTGTTCTAGAGACGTCTGTGTATGAGGAAAGGTAATCAAAAAAATGCAGATGATCAACTGGGGTGCAATATTATATTTCTAAACTAATATATTTGGTTTGTTGTTGTTGTTTTTTCAATGTGAATGCTGTCATTTTTGCAAAAAACAAACTAGGACACACTGAGAGTCTAAAAACATTGCTGAAAGCAATTAGTGTGGTGCCTATAATTTAAGCCTTCATGCAATTAAATTTCACTGTATGGGTTTTTGCTTTCATAGGAAGTGACATGGAAATAATAAATATGCAAATGTGATGATTTCATGCAAACAATATATTGATGGAGAGTGGGTTTTATACGCAATAATTCTAAATGAATTCCACAAGGAAGCATTTTATCATTTTATCAGCATTTAATCACATTTTATCAGATCCAGGATTTTTAAGTTATTTAAATATGCAGATGAAATGGCACTTGTAGGCCAGCTGACTAAAATAGGAACAGGAGATACCTTGTACTATAATTATTAGGGATGTAACGGTATCAGAATTTTACGGTACGATAATACCTCGGTATGAATGGCATGGTGCGGGATTTATTAAATAATTTACAGGAAAAACAAAACCAATGAAAAGACTCGAAAAAATTGCCAAAAGTGTTTATTTACCTCAGCACTGAACATATCAATGACATACAAATCAGCCATCTATCTGTAAGTTTCAAAACAGGAACTTCAATTTTTCAATTTTAATAACAAAAAGCTATTAAACCATATATAAAAAAATAAAGTTTCAATTTAGTATTGTTGAAAACTGATCACATTCAACATTTAATCACTCACTCACTTAGATAGAGATGGTTTTTTAAGGAAAATTATCATATAACTATAATCTGGTAAATGTTGGGATCTCTGGGCATGTCCCCTGCAACAGAAAAAAACCCTCTCATTTGGGACTGAGGTTTCTGGGACAGAGAGATACGATTTAGCCAAGGTTGACAGCAGTGGGTAACGTTGTGCATTATCTTTCCACCACTTGAGAGGACAAGCCATGAGTGAGATAGAGGTCTCTTCGCGGTACAAGTCAATGTCTGCATCAATCTAACAAGTGTGCTGTGTTCTGCAGTCCCCATGACTGTTTTTAGTCGTGTTCCCCGACTTATGTTTCACCACAGTCTGGCAGTGCCTCCATACTGTTTTTTTCTTTGTCTGTCACCTTTTCTACTTTTTCGTATCTTTTTAGAAAGAAACTGAAATGCTTCCACACATCCGATTTAAAACCCGCTTTAGGTTCGATCCTTTCCAGCTCTTTTTCTTCCCCGCTACTAGCAACACACTCCATTTCCAAATTACTGGATCTGTAGTGACAACAGACCGCAAAGGATGATGGCCACGCCTGGGCTGATGGGAATTGTAGTTCCCGCTATCTCCCGTTCGCTTCATTCGCCTAAGCAAACTTTTCTCAGAAATATAGTTTTATTAAGTCATGCGCCTACGGTAAAATTGAAAAAAATTACTATTGCGGTATGACAGTATTTACATTATTGTTACATCCCTAATAAATATATACATTTTTCTTCAAAATTGGTGTAAAAGGAGTTCACTGGAGATCAATTTTATTAAAACCAAGGGGATGATAAGAAATAAACTAGTCCCTAGTCAAGGGTTGAAACCTCTGGTCCTTGAGGGACATGAAATAGAGGCAGCTAGATGTTTTAAATATTTAGGAACCCTTGTTGATAGTGGATTTACATTTGCTGCAAATGCTGAGTGCATTTTTAAAAAAAAGCAATGCAGAGATTATATCTCATTAGGAGGTTACAACAATTTGGTGCGAGTCAAAATGTTCTGGAGATGGTTTACAAGAACTTGGTTGAAAGTGTTGTGAGTTTTAACATGATTGCAGGGTATGGACTGTTGCCAATTAAAGAAAAGCAAAAACTGTATCGAGTAGTAAAAACTGTCAGTGCAATTGTAGGTAAAGCACAAAGACAACCAAAGGAAATTTATTCAATGACAATTAAACAACGCACACATCATTATTGAAAATTGTTGCCATATCTAAAATATAAAATTTCAGCTCTTGCCATCAAAAAGACGTTTTAGGCAACTTCAAGTAAAGAAAAATGTGCATCAAGTGTCCTTTGTGCCGATTGCCAATAGACATTTAAATACCGTGTTTTAAGTATGTCTAGGGTTTTAAATTGAGTTTTTAATGTGATGTATTTGATGACATTGAATGTGTTTGTTTTGCCTGTTTTTTTTTTCTGTGATTTGTGTAATGTGAACGCTGATGTGGTTGTGTGGTGAAGCCAAAGATACATTTCCACTTGTGGACAATAAAGAAAGTAAAGTAAATAGTTCCAAACAAAGCTGGGTCAAAACATTTGTGCAATAAAGCATACTGTTTCAGTTAAAAAAAAAATGTCCTTAGTGAATATGGGCAATGTATTTTGGTGCATTTAAACAAAACAGATTTATTGAACAGATATATTTATTACAATAATATTTTAGTCACCAAACGCATTTAGAAATTGAAAGATAATACAATTAAATTCATTCATTTTGCTTCTGTTGATTTTTTCTCTTTTTTTTTTAAATTTGTATTTAATATTTTTCTATAATCATATCAATTTGGCTGTACTAGTTTTTGGACCGTTATTGTAAATTATATTGTTAGATGAGCTTCAGATTTGGCTCCAACACTGACTCATCTAAAATATATGCACAAATATAATATTGTATAGCTTCCTATTAAAAATATGAATATAAAAGAGAGATTTATGAGGGGTGTACTTATATATGCTGAACACTGTATGTCAAAAAAATTGACAGGAAAACTTTTTATATAAAATATATTATAATTTATTATAATATAATATATATATATATTATATTATATTTTATTCCACGTACTTAATTACACATAACATGTACATCATTTATTTTTATATTTTTCACTTTTTAAATTTATTATTTTAATTTTCAATTTTATTTTTGAATTTTGTTTTCATTTATGTAAAATTATACATTAATTTGGCAAAGGGGCGAGGCAGTGGCGCAGTAGGTAGTTCTGTCGCCTCACAGCAAGAAGGTCGCTAGTTCGAACCTCGGCTCAGTTGGCATTTCTGTGTGGAGTTTGCATGTTCTCCCTGCATTTGTGCATTCGCGTGTGGGTTTCCTCCGGGTGCTCCGGTTCCTCCACAGTCCAAAGACATGCAGTACAGGTGAATTATGTGGGCTAAATTGTCCGTAGTGTATGAGTGTGTGTGCGTGTGTGTGTGTGTGTGTGTGGATGTTTCCCAAAGATGGGTTGCGGCTGGAAGGGCATCCGCTGCGTAAAAATGTGCTGGATAAGTTGACGGTTCATTCTGCCGTGGCGACCCCTGATTAATAAAGGAACTAAGTCCATAATGAATGAATGAATAATAAAGCAAATGACCCAAAAAAGAGCCAGTTACTTGAATTTGTTTAGTCAATAACATCCATGTATGCTATCTAGTTTATTCTGACTGAAAAAGCAAAGAAACAAAAATCACTTACCTTGTTGTTGTTAATACTTAAAAAAGAAAAAAGTCTCAGTCAGTGGTCAATATGGTTTAAATCAGGAGAACATTGAAAATGATGAGCAGAGTTGTGAAATATCTGGTCTCTGTGTGTGATTTTGTTGACAGAAATAGGATAACAGACACGCATGGGGACATTTTTTTAGGTTTCCTGTCTGAAAGTTAGACGTGCAGACATTTTTCCAAAAGCTCAAAGATGGGAAAACAATTACCTCAAGTGGGTAAAAACGCTGCCATATGGAGACTCATGAGGATCTGGGAAATATTTAGGTCCACAAAGGCTTCAGGTCTACTAAGACTAGCAT